AAACCACAAGGAAGCTTCAAATTTTGAAAAAAAAAGGTCAGGGAAAAATTAAAAAAAAAAAAAAAAAAAAAAAAAACTAACAGGAAAATTAAAGAAAATCCAAAAAAAAAAGAAATGTCACAGCAAACAGAACAAAAACAATCGTACAAATAAAAATAAAATAAATAGGTTGCATCCTAGGATTCTGCAATGGCTTATTTGTTGACATATTTTTTTTCAATTTTCATGTTTTTTTTAGTATTAAAAATGTTATGTATTCATCGGCATGTTCTATAAAAGTTATCTCAGGCAAAGTAATAAAAAAAGCTTAATTTTTCTTTCATTGTAGTGACCTAGGAGGAGGTACATTTCAAATATTATAAAATATTATAAGTTTGGAAATATTATATTTCCAAACTTTTTGGTCTTGAAGTTGATTTGTATTCTTTGTGATGTATTGCCTACTTGCAGCTACTTTATTCCAGTAAAGTGTTTTTTTCTTTCTTCAGTTTTTCAGTTTATTTCTTAAAAAAAAAAAAAAAAATCCTAAATCCTTTTTTGTGCATTAAGAACCAATAATTGGAGCAGAATTATAGATTAAAACAAAGGTGCTGAGCACCTTGTATCTGCTCTTGTAGGTGAGGTCCAGCTCGGTCTCCTCTGGGCTGAAGAAAACTCCAGGCCTCTTGGTCATCATCTTCAGGTAAATAGCCTCGTCCGGCTGCACCCGGACCACCAACTCGTTTCTCTGACAGCGGTCAGCAAAGATGTCTCCGGGTACGTCCGTGAACTGCAAACGCACCTCGGCTTTCCGCTCGTTCAAGGCTTTACCACAGCGCAGAATGAAAGGAACCCCTGATGGACGACCCAGTTGCGGATAAAAACACGGTAACTCCAGGGAAAATTTAAACAGAGAAAGAGAAGCAATAATGAGGAAAGAAGTCTGGATTGGAGCCTCACCATCCCATCTTTCATTCTGGACGTAGAGCACTGCAGTTGCAAACGTTGGTGTGCAGGAGCCTTTTGGTACCGTGGGATCATCGAGGTAGCCCAGCTTGGCTTCGCCCTCCCCGCCCGGATCTCCCGCGTACTGACCCAGCACCACATCTGCCATGTTAGGAGGAGCTATGCACTTCAGCACCTTCACCTGCAGAAAACCAAAAACAATAACGGACATCAGCTTTGCGATGACTCCATAATCTCGTCACTCACGACGACGCGCCTACCTTCTCGTTCCTCACGTCGTCGGGGCTCGTGGATGCAGGTTTCTCCATTGCAATCAAACAGAGCATCTGAAGCAGGTGGTTCTGCATGACATCTCTACACACACACACACACACACACACACACACACACACACACACACACACACACACACACACACACACACACACACACACACAAACACCTGCAATCAGAGCAGAGTTCCTGTGAAACTAAAATCTAATTCGTAATGCTTACTTCACCTAATTATCCCAAAACCATCAAAGTATCCTCCACGGCCCTGAGTGCCAAAGGGCTCCTTGAAGGTGAGCACCACAGAGGCCACACTGTTCCTGTTCCATATGGGTCCAAAAAGGCGATTTCCAAACCTGCAGGAAAGTAAACATAAAAAAAAAAAAAAAGAAAAAAAAAATTCTGAAACAAACCACAAGATGGAGGGTTTTCACTTTTACAAGTAGCTGGCTTTCAGGTTAGAAAATACAGCTGGGTAATGAAGGGCTGGATTTCCTCTGATGGATTCCACAAAATAAAAAGTGATTTAAAAATCATCAGAAGTGGGGGAAAAAAAAACGTGTGTACACTTGCATTTGCAAACTCTAAGAACTTATGTCTGAGCCAAAAACAGATGTGCAACAAGCCTGGATGGTAAAAAGCAATGAAGTTACTTCAGCTAATTTAAGAAACTTCACTCTGTCTGGCTGCTTCTTATATTTACAAAATTACAGTTTTAATCATAAATGTAATTATA